AAAAAAAAAAAAAAAAAAAAAAAAAAAAATAATAATAATAATAATAATAATAATAATAATAATAAGAAGAAGAAGAAGAAAATTTGACAACTCAAGAAAAAATTATAAGAAAAAAGTAAAGAACCCCTAAAAAGAACCCCTAAGAAAAATTAGAAGTACAAAAAAACACGTATAGAAGAAAAAAAAAATCCAATACATGAAAAGACGGTGCGAGTGGATATAAAAAAAATACATCTCAAATTCAATCCCAACTCAAAATTTAACTCAACTTTTAATTCAACCTCACTATCTTCAATATTATGAATATAATTAAACAATATCAATCAATTATCCTCACACAGCACATCAACTTTCATTCACTAATCATTCACTCACATAATTTTAACACATATCGCTTTCAATCACTACTCTCCTACTTTTACATCAAATCAACTTTAATTAAATATTATTTTAATACAAACTCAAAATCTCACTACAAACTAACCAAACCATTTTTCTTTTTCAAAATTAACCTTGGTTAACAATCAAAACTGATATATTCATATCCACTCACGCTCTAAATTTTGGGCTCCATCTGATGGAATATCCGACACAACTTTTTGAATAGGAAAAATATAATGCATAACATAGAAAAGAATTATGTGCGGAAGGGAAAAAAAAGGGGGGGATAGAATTAAGAGTCGAGGTATGGCTTTGAACCAAAACAAAAAAAATCTAACAGCACTTGCCTTCCCCGAACAAAACCAGTTGTAACAAATCCTATGGGCCACCTATGGAGAGATTGGTCCTCAGGTATCTGAAGTTCCCATTCACCAGATGGCAACTTCATAAAGTATGACCACAAAGAAGACTGGGGTATTTTAAGACTCTGGTAATCACTTTCTGAGCTGCACCAGTAAGTACATAAATTTACATAAAATATGATTGGAAAATAATGTAAAAGATCTAAACGAATAACTGGCAAAGATGCTATTTTAAACAGTACCCGGTTTTCCACATCATGATGTCTGCCAGAAGGGGTGCACATACCAATGCTCCTTGTTCGAAAACACCTTCCTTGTAAGCACGCAAGACAACCCGAACATAACACGGTGTTTTCCCACACTTATTTTCTGATACAACAGTGTCTTGTTTGACGAAATCTGTTTCCCTCATGACCTTGTACAAGCAGTTCTCCTGAGAGGGCTTCCTCGGGAAGCAAAACAATTTTTTATCACTATTGTTTTTCAGGATTTTGCTCAGTACACCAGATGTCCGTGCTATAATACCCTCAAATGCAGAGGTTCTGACAGCTTGTTGACTAAGAGAATTATCAGCTTCACTTTTTAATATTTTTTCGAATGTGAGGTGCAAACAATTCCAGGGGGGTGGTATTGGAACTTCCAATGGCCTTTTGGAAAGAGGACGAAGCATTGCTTTTTGGTTAATCTCGATTGACTCCATTGCCATATAATCTGAATACGCATTGCAATCAGGATAGTCCAAGGGAAAGTATGGCAATCCAAGCTGTAAAGGAAAGAGATTATGGAAAAAATTTCTTCGTACTAATCTTCATGCAAACTAAGAGCATCTGAAATTCTCGAGCTTTACCTCGCAAGCAACCCATTGCTTCTCTCTTAAACCTATGGCATGAGCACCGTTTGACACAAAAACAATCCAAAATGCTTTGACCCAACTTAGAGGGAGAATAATGGAATACCTGAGTAATTAAATTAACCACACTTAAATGTTCAAATATTTGAATGATTGTCCACAGCAACTCTAATAAAGCACAAGAAACAAATGCTGCCATAGTTGCATGAATTTTTATTTTTATTTTTATTTTAAATAAAGTTATTACTAACAAATACAGATACCAGAGCATACATAACAGCATTCATTTAACATTCGTAAACAAATTTCATTCTCTTATTAAAAGCATGTAACAGGCAATTAAGTTCATTTCTTTAACGTTATCACACTCACACACACACAGACACTACAGACAATATTTTATACTGAATTTGGTGTAAACTGTTGATTTGTTACATAAATCCCTAAATGAGTACACGAAGCTAAGACAAGAATCAATTGCCCAATCTACGGAATCATAGTAATCCCCAAATGGGATGCCCTAATCTATAGTTTGTATACCATATTTACAAAAACATTTGGTAACAAAAGTCAGCTTAATTACATGAACACTAAAACAATGCATATGGATGCACTTCAGGATTTCTTTATTTTTTTTTTATTTTTTTGTTTCCAAATACATTCTGAGATACCACTAATCATGATAAATTATGAATGGCTCCATGGAAGTGCATGTGTACTCGAGAATAAAATAAAACATTGCAAAATAAACTGCTATGGTGATAACTCACAATGGAATTTTTCACAAAGAAAAATGAAAGGAGAAAAACAATAGACAGTTGAAAACCGTAATTGTAAAAATTTTACCTAGTAACTGATTTTTCACTGGTACCGTGTTTCAGTAGCAAAACAGGGCACTCACTCGAGTACTTTCCAGGAACAGAAGATTGAGGCTCAGAACTTAGATGACCCAAGCGAAAAAACTCCTTACGACTATGATATTTTTTCAAACAAAGAACACTTTCTTCCATAGGGAGACATGCCCCTTTGCTCGCATCCCATAAATCACAGTTTTGAATTGCAAATTCGGCTTCATGCTCAGGCACCGATGAACAGGTTTGCTCTTTAACTTGGAAATCTCCATTACTTGATAAGCCAAGAGGTTTTTCTTCAGGAACAATAACATTTCCCTTCTTAGTCAACAACCGAGGGTCCTTCACAACAACAGAAACAACTGATGTAGATGAATTCTGATGTCCATTATAAAAGATTAAAGTCTTTTCTGATTCCCCAAGATCCTCATGCTCATCAGACCATTTACTGTGAGAACAAAAAAGAAAATATGACCATAATTAGGACAACACTTAGAATGACTAAAAGTACTAACGGCTTAGAGTATCTCACCAGCTAGCAGGAAGCAGAGTCTTCTGCAGCAGTTCAAATACTTTTGATCCTACCAATTCCAATCTCGCAAGCTGGCCCTCACGAGAAACACAATGAACTGAAGGGGTCATGTCTGCCTGAAATAAACACATGCCATCAAGGTATGCTTAAAAAAATATGCTATATACTCGAGTGCCTTTGCGAGTAACTTCATATGCGTTACTGCAGAAATACTTCATGCAGCTCACTCGATCCTCTGGGTTACAATTGTCACATTTTTAGACAGTAACGGGGAAAGTTCAGTAGAAACACTAGGAAGTTTAACCTCTCAAGATCATAATTTATAATGAGTTAAAGGAATTCCCAATTTACAACAAGTGCACAAGTCCATTCACTTACTCAAACAGATCAACAAAGAAAATGAAGTTAAATACAATCCTACAGGTTGACAAAATTAAAAGGGTGTGTACATACATGCCTCCCACAGGCAGAGCTCAAAGAATCATATGCTTCTTGAAAAGCACCAGCATGTACCCACACCAAGAGCTGGCGGATGATAGCCTCATCACAAACTTTCTGCTCTCCATCAGAAACATCTGTTCTAAGCCTTTCTGTGTCGGTAGAGACTCCCTGCCGAGGTCGCCACATATAGATCACAGGAGCAATAGGAGGGAAACACGTTTTTCCAGCATGATGAAGCTGCAAAATATTCATACTGTGACTGAAAATTCCATCAATTGAGCAATATCAAATGCAGAAAAGTAAAAAAATGGTCCACACACCATAGCAGATCCAAAGATGGTGCCAGCAAGAATATCATGTGAAGTTTCTTCACAACATGCTGATGGAGAAGGCACCAACACTGAATTAATAACTGATATCAACTTGCCCTAGAAAACATGAACAAGGTTTAACCCACGAAGTATTTATTATACAAAGAAAAGGCCGGACTTTGGAATTCTTGAAAAATAGATGCACGATAATGACGTTATGACGGGTGTTAAATTCTAAAAATGCATGACATCTATGTTACGAAGAAGCCTAACCTCAGGACCCTCCAACTGTATCGATCCATAATAACTCGCATCATGCACGAGTGATCCATGTTTTAATTTTTTCAGTAGAGCTCTTGAGCCTCTTCCTCTGAACCACATGCATTATGGATAAGTTACATACAAAGGCAATTGAAGATGATTATTAAGAGAAGTGTTCTAAACTCACTTCGACCTCATTATCACATATTTGTTTCTTAAACAATTGAGCAGTAGAGCAAAAGCATAAAAACTTAGAATAGACAAAAATGCATTACAGATAACTTTGTAGTCAAATAGCACAAACAAAAAATTTACCTGCCGTGAAGACCAAGAGGAATATAAAATCCCCAAATCTTTTTCATCGTGAACCGCTTTGCATGCCAAACATGAGTTCTTAGTCTCTTTGTCCCATCTGTTGAAGTACCAAATCCACTAGACGGGTTTTTCTTGAGTTCAATGTTCCTTCGAACACGACGGGGAACTTTCTTTTCAACTGTTCTCTCCAAATCAGTTTCAACTGTTTTATCCTCGCCAACTTTCCTTTTCTTCCTAGGTTTCTTTTTTGCAAACCGGTTGTCGTGTCCTGTAGTTCTCCTCCTCTTGTTCCTTTGGGACCGAAAACTGTGGTCCAGACGTTGAGCAACAATAGTGTGAAGACCCTCAAGTTCATAAGCTCTGGACTCTACAAATTTCCATACATTCAGTTCACGTGGTGGGCCTGTTGAGACTCCAGCTTTGCTCCCATTATTAACCATATCAGTGGTTTTCTATCATCAGAAAAATTTCCCAACTATGTGGTCGTCAGTTGTTACACAGTATTCTTCTCTGAAGTAAGAAAAAAAAGGATAAAAACAAATTACTATGAAAGGTAATGTGTATGTGTTTGAAAGTGACCTCTGAGGATCTGACTGTAAAGAAAATAATATAAAAAAAAGACACTTCACAATTTCTTTATAACTATTTTATCCACAATGACAGTATAATCAAAATATACAATCACCTTTCGAACAAGACAAAACAGGAAATCACAGATAAGTCAATCAAACATAGAAAGCAAATTGAAGGAATGCCATGACATTTATTGACTACAAGTAAGAGGCATGTGAGTTGCATGTTGTTAGGGAATACATTATTCATTTAGTTTCTTATATATATTTAAAACAAAATGTAAAGGAATATAATAGCACCAGTTTTAGATGAATCCACCATAATTGAAATCACTAGTTTAATTCCATTTGCAAGTTGCATCACAAACAACTTAAATCATATGTGAGGTTACATATGCATTCTTTCACTTTATAGTTGTTAGCTTTCTCCATAAGGGTTTTGACTCTTGGTTTCATGAGATATACAAGTACAAGTTGGTATTTTTTTTTTTAAGAGTAATGCCTGTTATTTGGTACTGTAGATCGCACACAAAATAACATCATAGGAAATCAAACAATCAACCAATGTTAGCACATAAAATAAAAATATATAAAATGGTGTCCTATTGTATCAAATTGAGCATAAAAACTTAGTTAGTATACAAGAGGCAAAAAGGCTCTGTCTTCAATGGTGCTCCAGAGTGCCATACATGAATAATTCGAATGAAATGCAATATATCATCAAAATGGACAAATAGATACAAATTTACAATAAAAACACATGAGCCATCAACTAATTTAATATCCAAAGTGTTCCAAATCTTTTATTTCAGATTTTTCAAGAAAGCAAACTACTATATCGATGCTAAAGGAAGGAAAATTGTCATCAAAGCATACTAAGACAAAAAAGTTCAACCCATATGTAAAAAGTAGATGGGCATACAAGTTCTAAGTGAACAAATAAATACACATTAAAACTCACATTCCACAGAAGAATTACCACTCAAAATGCGGGAAATCTTGTGTACATGGATAGTGAATTTACATTAAAACACGACTTTAGTCAAGAATTAAACAAAGATACCCAGGTATACACATTGCAGAGAAAAATATCTTAAGAACAATGATAATATTTCCATAAGTAACTGCAACAGCTCAGCCCACCCTACATGGCTGTAAATAATTTTATTGTGTGTATTTCACATATATCCATGACAATATTCATAGAAAAGGCATGATTTTTTTTTTCCCTTAATGTGTTGATCCAACATTTTCAAACATTCTTACAATGAGACTAAGGATTCGTTTTACTTCGTCTCCGTATTTTTTTTTCCCTCTTTTTCTAAGGAAAAACTAAATTGAGAATTATATGGTGAATTTCTAAAAGTTAAAACTTACACTAACTCATTCTTAATGGTTGGAGAATGAAATCAATAGTTATTTAAGGCTAACTCCCTAAGTCTGATTGACTCACAATATGACAAAATCTAACATGAAAAGAGATGATGAACTAAGAAATTTAACACCAACCATATAGCATAAGAGACAGATAGGATAATTTTTTGGTCTGAAACGACCATTTGATCAGTTAAATCTGCCACTGATAGTATAATTTGGTCTAAAAAAGAGTGGCCTTCTATGATAATAGATTTTAAAGGATACACACACACACACACACATACACACATAGAGAGAGAGAGAGAGAGAGAGAGAGAGAGAGAGAGAGTATGGAAATTAAAAACTACTGAAGTGAATGCAAATGAGGAGCAAAAGTAAGGAAAAGTGCACCAACTCTCTTAACTGATATGGAGAGCAAGTAATGTTCCTTCACAGTCCCTTGGTAGGTTACAACATCACCACCACAATTTTCAGTCATGAAGAAAAATGTGTAATGAAGACATGAAGTGGACATTCATTGAAAAATACAAAGGAAAAAAAAGGAAATTGTTTATACTTTTCATTTTAAAGAGATGATTCGACATCTGTAAAAAAAATAAACAAAAATAATGTTATGAGAACTGCCTTGAAGCGATTGAAACATGCCTTTTCTTTTTCTGAATGTAGCAGAGCTATCTCGAATCGAGTGGGAAACGAGAATGAAGGAAAAAACAAAAGATCTATATCTGTGATGAATTTTGAAACAAAAGAACGTGATCCAATATAGCAGTGATATAAAGTTGAGAGGGAGGGAGCTTTTTCTCCCCCTCCATAGAGTCAACTTCTAACTATCCTACCATCTATCACGATGATGCTTTGCAAAATTGAATCTTTATCCTGGTAATCCAATTCGCACTTTAAGAAACTTAAACTAAGAGGACACCAGCAAAACTAATCTAATATCTAGACGCAGGAAATGGAAAAGAAGAATGTTCATTTTTCTTGGAAAAAAAAAAAAGAAAATACATTGCAATAGACGTACAAAGAATTGCATATTTCAAGAAAAACAAGATATGAAGCAACTTAATTCAATAGAACCGACAAGATAACGAATTGCGAAAAGCAAAACCTCACTGCTCCGGCGATTTTGAATAGCTAATAGCATTCTGAATATTCCTGTTGGGTTTTATGCAATTTGCATTCACTTCCGCAGTTTCTAATTTCCATCCTTTATGTGTTGGTGCACTTTCCCTTACTTTATCCCCCCATTTGCATTCACTTCTGTAGTTTCTAATTCAAATCCTCGGTGTGTGTATAAATAATATCCTTTAGAATCTTATATCATAACAGGCCGGCGGGTCGGGATGGCCCGCAGCCCACCAAAACCGCAGTTTGGCGGGGTGGGGTAGGGCGGCCGGCAGCCCGGTCCAACCCCAACCACGGGCCGCGGGTCAGTGGGCTGGTCACCCAAATTATTGAAGAAAAAATGTGAAAAAAAAAACAGGGGCTAGGGGTTGTTGCAGTTGCTGGGACATGGCAGGGAGCTAAAAAAATTGAGAATTTGGACATACATTGGGCAAAAAGATGTGAAGGTACTCACGTCTCACTCTCACAGTCCACAGAGGGTAGAGGCACAGCACAGGCAACTCATAAAATAAACAAGTAAATAGAAAAGCCAAAAGTTCAGCCATCATTACCGGAATGTATCGACGGACTGAAGCTGTCTCGCCGCTCGGCAGGTCTCTCTCCGTTGCCGGCTCGCTCTGTCACTCTCTCAGTTTCTAGTCGCCGCCGGTGCTGGGAATTTTTTGGCTTTTGAAACAAATATCGAATGAAACTGATAGTGTTGCAAAATCGCTCAAGTTTTTTTTGTTTATACACAAGCGGGATGGCCTAGGGCTGCTGATTGATGCAAACTAGCCCAGCCCGAGTCCATAATTGGTCTTATCGAGAAGGATTGAATTTTTTTAAGTTGTTCGAGCTTATCGAGAAGGATTGAATTTTTTTAAGTTGTTCGAGCTCGATTTATGAAGCTCGAGCTCGATTCGATAAGAAAATACAATAGCTCAAGCTCAAAATCAAATACTCGAGCTCGGCTCGAGTTCGACTAAAAAAATTTTAAGTGGAATTACAATTAAGCACTTGTGTTATACTATTTATAAGGGTATTTTAGTAATTTAATATATATCGAGCCACTCGACAATGCAAAAGATGGGCTCGAGACTCGAGTTCGTGCTCGAGCCGCTCGAGTCGAGCTTTGACTCGAGTGGCTCGACTCGTTTGCAGCCTTAATCTACACAGACAAAACTGAAATAATTGAGTCCAAATTTTGGAAAATCCGAATTAATCAAACTTGTGTCACAAACCGAAATGATTAGTTTATTAGGTAGGTTAACCGAAATAATCGAGATAAACTATTTTATACAACGTATTAGGTAGGTTAACCGAAATAATCGAGATAAACTATTTTATATGTTGCCGTAGGAAATAAACGAGAAAATTGAATTTCTTCTTTGTCTTTCCAAAAAATAATTTAATGTTTTATATTATTTTTTGGCCAAATATATATATATATGTAATATTAAAAAATAAGATTTTTTTTATATATATTCGGTTATTTCGGTTATTCATAGGGCTACTCATTCAGTCGAAACCTCGATTTATCCATTATAAGAATCGAAAACCGAATCAAAATTTATGGTTTGTTTGGATGTGCATTCTCCTATTAGTGTTATTTTATAGGAGATATTATAGTCTTTCGACACAGTCTATGAAAAGCTTTTTTCATTGAGGAAAAATTGTGGAGAATTGTGACTGGTGATGTATTGCCACGTGCGCATTCGTCTTGTACTGGGGATACCAACCTCACCTCATAGACTCTTACAGAATACATTAATAAGTTGGAGGATTGGGATAATAAGAACCATCATATTCTTACTTTGGTTACACAACACTTCAGTCCCAAGGAGGCTTGTGATATTTTGGTTGCTCGATTTCAGAGTACATGCATGGCTCATTATTATCAGCTTTGGAGCACCTTACATTCCACTAAGCAACAATCGGGTCAATTTGTCAATGAGTTTCTTGCACAAGTATAGCATATCCAGCATCGTCTACGACATGCTGAGATTAGTCCGGATCATCTTGATCTTATTAAGATTTTGATGATTCTTCGTCATGAATATGAGATTGTTCGTGCTTCTCTCTTAAACTGTCATCTCTTACCTACTCTTGATCTATTCAAGAGATCACATTTGAGGAGACCCGTTTTTTTGAGTCTGCATTAGTTGTTCCTACTTCTGCTTCCGCTTCGTTGCGCCAGTCTCGACCACCTATTTCTGGAAAATGTAGGATTTGCAAGAGATCTGAAAACACTTATGCCACTTTTGCTAAAGTGGAGTGTCACATCTACCATGCTCGCCATATTGCTCTAAATTGTTCAGTCAAATCACCACGCTTGGGTGGTTCATCTTCCCGATATCAAGGGTCTCGCGGGTTTTCTTCAATCGCCACTTCTTATGTTACAGCGATTGTCACTAATGAGCATCAACACTCATCTTACACCCTTCAAACAGGTTAGGGGGCGATTGGATATAGTTTCAACAGTAAAACTTTAATTCACTTTTCATCTACTCATATATTTTTAACTAACCATCACTTCCAATCATTTTTTCTCATATTTTACATCAAATCAACTTTAGTTATTTTATTTAAATATTATTTAATATATCCATTAACAACTAATCATACTACATTTTTTCAAAATTAACTATAGTTAAAAAAAAACCAAATAAAAGCTAGTTGAATCCATAAACAATCGCACCCTTAACCATTCATGTTTTGTTATACCAGTTACACACTTACACTAGGTAAACTTCATTGGTATTTTGATTCTGGATGCTCCAATCATATGACCTCTAATCCACATTGTTTTCTCTCTCGTCTTCTTTTAACTTTTTTACCTCCTATACATACCATGAGAATTACTCGATCTTGTTTCTCCATTCCTTGCACCTTCCTTACGCATACCGCATTCCCGACTTCACATTGAATGATTGATTTTTATTTCTGTTGGTCAATTGGTTGAACAAGGTCTATAATGCAACTATGAGACTGTTGGAGTTAGTCTTAAAGTGGGAAGTTTTTCAAAAGCACAATTTCTACCAACGCAGGCTTTTTTTCTTTAGTTAGAACACAGATTTCATGTAAGCCTGACTATATCCTAGAATTTTGAAACTTCTGATGAATAAGACTCCAAGTTCTTTTGTAGCTAATAACTTCATTTTTTTTTATTTATTTATTTAGAAGATTTGAATATGTTTAAGTTAAGCACCTTTACGCTAAGTTAACCACCAAAAATGAGAACTTTTAAACAAACAGCAGCTCATGAGAATTATTAGCAGCAAACAAGAAACCAGCATGGGACCAAAATTAAGGATCATTATAAAAAGTGGACTTCCAAACAGGGGCGGATTCAAAAATTTTGTTGAGTGTGGGCCTAAAACTATTTTCAAAAGATGACACAATGGTCTAAAAAGAAAACGTAATTTTCATTTTTTATAATCAGTTTATAAAAAAATAGATTATGATTTTCAAACTCATAAATACAATATTAAGTTCTTATACTCAAAATCTTTTGCAAATTAAAATTATTGTCGGGTTTAAGTGTGTTGTAGCATGAACCTTACAATATATTATAGAGATACTAATAAATTAGAATCATAATGGTGTTACTATATTTACACAAAGAGATTGGATTGAACTGGTTGGAGTTGAAATCAATCAGTTGACCATTTTGGTTTGAACCAGTATGTTGTTAAATGAAATTGTAACAAAATGGAGTATTCAGAGAATTGTGTGTATTGTGAAATTTTTCTGTAATTGTTGAAGAAAATAGATAAGAGATGAAGTAGGAAGAAGCCGGTGAGAGAGAGAAGGAGCACCTCCTTCCTTTGATCAGATAAAGAAAAACCAAGCCCCTCAGACTTATATCTTCGATATCCATCATCGGAACCGTGCCTTTCTCTCCCAATCGGTTAACAGCCGACGCGAGAGTCCCCCCGAGCATAGAAGGGGCCAAAGTCTCAATAGCCCGATATTATTAGAAACGGTGTTATTTGTGGGTCTTATAAATAAGATAAAAACATCAATTGATATAATACATATTCACGTGTAACATCTTAATAGACGAGGCCAAAATTGGGTATCAAAACGGTAAAAAAGGTAAAAAACTGGCCAATTGGATGGATTCGTTTTTTCCATTTAAAAAATAAGTTTTGCTAATTTAAACATATTCTTTAAATAAATAAAAATAATTATGTAAATATTGAATATCTATAAAGTATTATATTGGTTAATTTAGAAATTTGAGTATTTTAAATTATCTATATGTTTAATTAAGAATAATTTTATATAAAAAAAAGTTGATTATTTTATGTAATATATATTTATAAATATTAGTGTTTAGGTACCAATTCAAGTATTGATCAATGAACTTGTAGCTTGATAAAGTTTAGTTGTTAACTCATAAACAAATAAAATATAAGAAAATAAAAATATTAATGAAGTGAATAAAAAAGTAAAACCAAATTCACCTTTATATAGTTTTGTTTGCTTAGGACTAATGCATTAAATTATTAGATTTTACCTCCAATATAAATTGTTTACCTAAAATTTGAGTGAGGGCCTTGGCCCCTACTGGACCCAATATGGGTCCGCCGCTGCTTCCAAATTCAATATTCATCAGTATAATATGAAAATGTTTTTGAATGAAAAAAAAAAAAGAAATGTACTAATTCAGTGTCCAGCAGTTCAAGTACATAACTCTGTGCATGGACTCATCACCCTCGTTTTTCCTCCCACACGACTCGTTTCTCTTCGCATCTGGGGAGCAAGCAGAGGAAGAAGAATAAGATAGTTGGCTTCTCGTGCAATAATCTCCGAAAATGAAGCCGCTATTGTCGTTTTTGTTCAGAAATTCGATTTCCGTTATAGCGATAGCCGCTGCCGTGCAAACTCTGCCTAAGTAATCCATCTTTCTCTACTGCCTTTGATTTTTTTCTTTTTTCTTTTCTTTTTCCTTTTCTTTTCTTGATTTTGCCTTATTTTCTTTTTTTTCTTCTTTTTCAAAAGAAATTCAGTGGTTTATGTTCTGTTTATCTTTTGATATTCATTCAATCTTAGATTTAATAGGTGAGGTTTGTTTATATAGGCAGAGTTGTGGATTTGTATCAATTGGCGGGTGATAATGGTTTTGTGGTTTCTTGTGTGCTGTGTGTGTGGATTTGTTTGGAACCATACCCACAGGAATATTGTTTAATTCATGTCTCTCTCATGAAAACAATGAGATTTTTATGTTTTTATGAACTAAGATAATTCGGCTCGTTGATGAGTCAAACCCGAGCTCATCTATCGTCTCCTTAAGTTCATAAGCTAAGTTCAAGTTAGCTCAATAGAGACTCGAGTATCAGAAGCTCGAACTCAATTCAACTAATTTACCGCTCTATATAAGTTAGTTAAAATTTCATAATATGTGTAAGAAGGATGGAAAAAAAAAAAATGAATTTGTGAAAAGAAAACTGTAGTTGATAATCAGTAAATTTGATTCTTCTTGTATCAATTGAAATTGTCAGAGAAAAATTGAAATTTCTGATACCAATTGATATTGTGAATTAAGAAGCAATATCTACTAAATGATCCCCCACAAACAATGCCAAGTTGCCAACACATACTCAAAGAAGTCCTCACCCTTCAATTTATAATTATTATATCAAAAACAAACACAAAAGGATATATAAATTCTCTCTTTGGATATTTAAATAAAAAAAAAAAAGAAAAAAAAAGAAGATTAAAATCTACAGACATTATGTGTATGGCCACAAGTCTACACACACCTGAGGTTTACAGATTCAACTAGTCACTGGTCACATTTTTGGACTTAAAATGAGTGTCCATTATCTCCTACTTAACCTTTGACAACAGATACCTTTAAACACACACACACACACACACACACACACACACACACACACACACACTTAAATACACTCATACAGAGTACAGTCCACATAATTTAAGACCAGAAAAAACGTTCACCGATAAAATTTTACTCATACAGAATCCACCAATTCCCCTTGTTGTCGAGCTAGGTATCGTTCTCTTCTTTCTTTCTGCAAAAGGGAAATAAATTAGAAAAAAATTTCAGAAAAGAGAGAACATTAAAGATCAAAGCAAGATGACGTCGAGTATAATTTCACATTTTAAGATGAAATGACAACACACCCATTCATCGATTACAAGTCCTTCTCCAATGAACTTTGGGCCCGTGTCCTCCGGAGGCTTCTTGCGGGCCTCGATTTCAGCCTCGGCTTCCGCCAGCTGGCGACTTAACTTCTCAAGAGCCTTCAAAAGTAAAGCAAAAAAGGTGTTTGAATTTTTTTACTTAGAATGAGAATGAGCGAGTTTTCAAAGAAAAATAATCACTTACAGGACACGGATGTTCGACATCCAGAAAGACTACGCGAAGTATCTGCTCGACAGCCACTTGATCCTTATGGTCATCGAACTAACACAAAGCAAAACAAAACACATCTTTAATCCGAAGAAAAAGAGTTCACTAAAACGTCATCTATAGTTAGTTATATATATTTAAAGATTTTTTTATTTTTCAAAGTGTTTTTTTTTTTTTTTTCAAGCAAAGAAAAGGATAAACAGGGGACGAACCATTTCAGATATGTAGTCCATTGGCCCCTTCACTTTGAGGCTCATGATTTTGAATTTCACCCGGCTTTTCTTATCAATTGGCTTTTCATTGTTCTCAGGGGGCTCTACAAACTTGAATACTGATGTAAACAAAGAATTTCAAGATCCACTTTTAGCCAACGAGTGCATGAATATTCATGTCACATGATTACCAGAAAACAGAAGTGCAAAAATTCATAGCCAAATGATTACCAGTTGCTATTATACTCTCGCCAGGAGCAAGAATGGCTCCAGGAGGACGCATAAAGCAGCTTTTAGGAGCAGTTGTTTGGAACTGCAACACAAACAGTGAACAAACATCATTCATAAGAAACAATAGCAAACTAGAATTTTCTACCCATGGTTATCCACTGCCTAAACCCAACATATACATTCATAAGTAACTGTCTTACAGCAATAGCCCTTTTTTATTTTTAAGTTTTCCGCATTCATATGAATAGCAAGAGAGAAGGAGATCAGACAGAGAATGCTTGGCATACCTTGAAAGCAACATGAGACTTGCTTGTATTTTTTATTTTGATAGCACTTTTGACTTGCTTACCAGGCTCATCTGCCAGTAGTTAAAAGGAAAAAGGGATTTAATATACAAGAAACGACATTCATGTTCAGCAAAATATTAACATGTCTAGACTCTAGTATATAAAAAACTCAGAAGTATATCAGTAATAAAAGAGAAGTATGAAAAAATGTCAGTTTTTCACTTGTTTCTCAAAAAAAGCCACATTGGTTGTAATAGCTGTTTTCTTTTTCCACCTTGTAATAGATAAAAATGGTATTTCCGTAAACCCAATGATAAAAGAGGCATTTTCGCAAACTTCCCAAAAAAAAAAAAAAAATCACTGCCAATATAGAGAAAATAGAAAACTATGATGTGCATGTCTTGAGATCACAGATGATTAGGGTCATGAAGAAAGCCATGTTAACAGTGGGTTTCAAGAAAAAAGAAAGTGCATAAGCAAAAAGCATGCACGTCTCAAACGCTCAAAAGCAGTATCTAATTCAGAACTACATAGAACAACCAATAATCTCCTCCTTGGACATGAAGAATGCTGGTACATTCATAGCATAAATATGCATTTTTTGGTATAAAACAACAGTATGACGGGTCAACTCGCTTGACGGTTACGCAGCATCATACAAGAATGTGTACTCCCCCAATCCATAACTTCTACTTTTCTAACTACTCCAATGGACCTAAAGTGACAAGCTTAACTTGGCATAATTACAAAGATCAGTAACATTCTTCTTGCTGAAGGCAAACAACTATGATCATAATCATCTACACAAAAACATCAAACCAACAAGAAATACAGTACCGACAACTTAAGAACAAGAAAGAAAAGAGAAAAGGAAACGGAAATTCAAATTTTCACCAAATAGAAATAAGATCGATCTTGACTAAATCAAATAAAAACAAAATTCTCCACCAAAAAATCGTAAACCTAACAGAAAACAAGTTCCTTTAACATAAAACGAGTAGTGAGCAGAATCAAAGCAGAAAAAGGGATGAAGAGCTCGTACAAGGGAAATAGAGCTTATTTGAAGGATCAAGCTTCAGACGACGGCGCGTGGGGAGCAGAGATCTGGCCACCGAGGAAACCGAGCTTCCGGAATTTTCCTGAGCGCCCGATCCTTCCACTTGAGAGTGAGCGTTGCTGCTCCCATGGCCGTAATTCTGCTGGTAGTGAGAGAAATTGGAGGACGACGTCGCCGACTGAGAGTTCCGGAAAGGCAGCTTGAAAAGCCCCCACGCTTTGCCGTCCGTTTTCTCCTCCGAGGTTGGCATCGCTTTCCGATCGCCGGAGAACCTAAACGACCTCGCCGGAAGGGACCTGGTTTTGGCTTTTTCTGCTTTTGGAAAGTCTCTTTGACAAGCTCTTCGTTGGTGGGTTGTGTGGCCTTGTGGGGGGTGTGCGCAGGCTTTCCAAATTAACCCGTCTTGACTATTTATTTATTTATATTTGGTTATTTTTATTTAGACTTGTTTTTTAATCTAGTTGTTTACAAATAAAATACCTTGGATTAATGGAAGTTGGAGCTCCATTTATCTTTATATATATATGGTACGTAAAAGACCTTCGATGGGCAGAAACGGTCTGAACCCAACCTTTCTCGTCGGTAAATTGTTTGCGAACTAGTAAAAAGTCTCGAATGTTTAAGTAAGCACTTATAGAAAATGAAGTGTAGAAAATAGTGTTTAAAATAATAGAGAATGTAACGTCATAATGAGGATACATCACTCTCTTATATAGGGAAATGATAACTTGTTATTCAAGATTGTCCGAATAGGTTGCCCGAAGTGCCCGATAGTACAACACGAACTGTCTGGACTTCCCGAACTACACAACTCAGTTAGGCTCTTAACCTCTTATGATTTCTTCTTATCATTTAGTCTTTCATATTAGATTGCCTAAATGTGTGGTCAACTCGAGATCACCCAGGGTAGAATGTTTCTTGTTATGCGACCAAGTGTTGTCCTTCTTGGTCGATCATACGACCACTCATGCCTACGTGTCGAGTTTCCAACAGGTCCTCCAAAGGCCCTTGCCCGACCTATTCGTTGCCTTTCATATATCCCTTGTGTTGTCTTCGATCTGAAGACTCATGTTCCTACGCTGGTGACGAATGACCACCTACGGCCTTCTTGATGTTCTGTTCGACCAGCCGATTCACTTGGCTTGGTCGACCGATTTATTGGGTTTATTTTACCAGGGTCCAGTATCCCATATCAATGTATATATTAATTGACTTCCAGTTGTGCACGCACAACCACTCCAAATTTAGTCAATAATCAAGTTAAAATTTGGTAGACCCTATATTTCTTTTTTTTTATAATTATTTTTTAATTTTAAGACATATCGACGCAATTTTTAAATAATCAATTTAATTTATATTTTTTTATTATTATATTAAATTTAAGACACATCAACAAAATTACATTGGATACGTTTGTATTGAGTAAAGCGAAGGTTCATATTACATTTATATAGAGTAAACGAAGATCAATCCACAGTCAACAGAACAAGTTAAACATCAACTTCAATATAATAGGAAAATCAATCAATTCAATGAATTCTGGCGTTCACGTCCGTCAGCCAAGCTCCGGCACCCACGTCCATGACCGACGTCTTCAAAATGCACTTTTCACTAGTTCACGACCCTGACTTTTGGAAACTTGAATCTTGACCCGTATCAGTATGCCCTGACAAATTCCATCTTAGCTCTTCCCCTCGTCCTTCGCCACCGTCGACTTTTGTGACCTGTTTTTTGGGTTCGTGCAGAACCTTTCGAAAGACTACATATGGATATTGTTAGAATATCTCTTGTGAGACGTTTATACATGAAAAATATGTCTAATTTATTATAAGTCTAGTGGGCTACTTATCTTTCCACCAATTGGTTTTGGATGGAAAGTCACTTGGGCTTCATCTGGGCTTCTCTGTCATGGTGCGTTTCACGTGAGTGGGACCACACTTGTTTTTCTCCTATTTCTTAATACCCTCTCAAATCAATGTGGGACAACTCAAAAGTGATATTCCAACATGTCCTCTCACTTGTGAGTTCTTCAACTCAAGCCCACAACAAGTTGTGTAGATTTAATGATCCTCATAAGTCGGGGCCTACAACCAGGCTGGATACATTTTTTTTTTTTAAATCATCGCATGTCCTAAATTAGGCCCGCTCAATGTCAAATTTTTGATAATCGGGGATCAAGGGTGCGGTCCGACACGGGTGAGCCTAGTTGCACCTTAGTGATGTTCCACCAATTAGTGCAGGGATGAGTAGCTTAATAGGCTTATAAACTATGATCGTTTATCCTATCAAATCAATGTGAGACAACTCATAAGTGATATTCCAACATATATAAAGATATACCATTATTTTTTATCATAATATTTATATTTTTAGTAACATATGGATATAAAAACATGATTGATGAGATGTTAATATCTTGTTAATTTATTTTTATATCTGATTAAGAGCGTATTTTGATATTTAATATTGTAAATAGTCTAATTTGATAACTGAAAAAATCGCACATATATATCATATAAAATTTTAAAGTGGTGTATATATGTACTTTATTTCCAACAATTTTCTCTAGCTTACCCGTACGCTACTAGTTCACATTTAAATAAAGAAAGACTTGTTTATTGAAGGAAATCGCTCTTGGCAATACACACGTTTATCTCTCTCACCAAACTTGGGAAGAAAAAAATACAGAGAACAATAAACCCACTCAAACAGCAACAGAAACAACTGAAAGAAAGCTGTCAATCGCCTTCTTATTCTTATTTCCCCTGATAAAGGGAAAAAAAAAA